CTGCAGAAGAAGGAGGCGTATGGGGGAAGTGAAGGTAAAACTCGACAAGTTTTAAACTTGTGAACTAAAAAGGAATTAGTTGTTGGCTGCACCCGGGAACAAAACCCCTGGTAGCCATTACATAGAAGGTTCCAGAACAGTTGCGCTTATTATTTATGAGTGCCACCGCCGGGAATCGAAAAACAGGCTTGCAGGCGACAGTCCCAAGGGACCCTCTGGGAGGACGTTTTCCTCTAAGTTCACCTCACCAAAGCAGACCTACGCAGCTGCACTGCCTCGAGACATTCAACACCAGCAACTACAAGCAACACAGACAGAGCAGCAGTATCTGCCACAAAAGGAATTTCAGAAGACAGGTCTGGCAGTACAGGTTCCTAGTTCGTCAACAGTGGCACTGTCGCCATCGTAGTGCGTGAGATCATGGCAGGACTCACTAAAGCTGTGTCAGAAGAAGACAGAGTAATGGTCATTAGAAAATTGGTGCTTAACTTAATGAAACAAAATGGTTGCTAGAATTCACATGCCGCTCAGAGTCATAGCATTTAATGCAAACGGCATTTGGAAGCAGCGCTATGAGCTCAGTAAACAGCTGCAAGCCTTACACATAAATGTGGCTCTTCTCTCAGAAACATATCTCAAACCCCATGAGAGGTTCTTCGTTCCAAACTATCACTTTTATCGGACTGGCCGCTTCCCGGGAAGCAATCCAATCAAAACCTTGTCTGCTGTCACCCATAGATCTTAACCACGAAGTTCACGCATTCAGCATCTCCTAACTATGAAATAGTAATAGGCTTATTACAGACCGCCTCTGTGGTCTAGTGGTCAGAGTTCCTGACTACAGATTCAGAGGTCCCGGGTTAGATTCCCCTGCGCTACCAGATTTTCTGAGAAGTAGTGGATCTCAAACGGGGTCCACTCAGCCTCGTGAGGATAATTGAGGAGCTATTTCAAGAAAATAGCGGCTCCGGTCTAGAAAACGGAGATTAACGGCCGTGAGTATCCGTTGCGCTGACCACGTGACACACTCTATCCGCAATAGTTGGCACTAACTTCGCCGACAAGCAGCGGTGGCTCAGTTGGTATAGTTCTCTTACGGACTACAGGCCACGTAGTTTGGTTTTTGTTTGTTAATAGGCTTATTATTGTAATAGCAATTTTACAGTACGCTTGCTTCCATTTAATATTTTTACGCGATCTTTCATTTTTATTCCGTGGTGCGTAGTTAGATCCCTTTGTATACATTTGTACGTAGTTCATGTGAGGTTACACAAGTGATGCACAAAATAATGCTGTCGGCTTTTCAGGTTCACATGAATGGGTTTCCTTCAGTGCTTAGTCATAAGAATGTTGCGTGTTGTATTTAAAACTGACGTAAACTCTATTTATTTAACGATAATTATAAATGGGAGACATGCATATTACACGTAATTGTTCCTTTTAACGCAGTCCTTGTGAAAGACATGCAAGAAGCTTAAGGCTTTTCGTTTCTTTATGGAAGAAATAGCGTGCATGTTTGGAAGATACATTCATTGTGAAATCCCATACACATGACTTGCAACTTGGGATCTGAGGGTTTATTTATTTTTCTCTTTTGTTAGTAATACCTTTCCCTAACCATAGGATACCATACGCCACCACAAATACTGGGCAATGTGTAATGCAATACTCGTCCTAAATGCCATCCAGAACATCATGGACAGCTGGGGTCAGCCGCTGCTGTATCTGAGGATATTTTTACGAATCAGAATGTTTATTGGTCTCTGTATGGTATATGAATAATTTTTACCAGGCATGTCCAACTTCGAACAGGTTGTGATCGACTTTTTAGGGTCAAAACTGCCATTGATCTACCAGCCCCTCCTATCGTCGTACCTCGCTTTAAATAAAAATATTGGTAAAAATAACACGACACATGTTCGTTGCAAAAGCAACATACACTGAAAGTATAGACTTACCTTGTTCGTTAAGAACAGAAAAATAGGAATAACTAATAGGTATTTTCCCTTCAAAATCTGAATATAATCATATTATATTACAAGTGAATTTACATGCTTTTCACGTATAATTTCCTTATATGCCTATGAGATCGACCAAAAATCGTCTCACGATCGACTTATACAAAGCAATATGTCGAAATTAATAAAAAACAAAATGATTTCTAAATAGTATTCTCTCCCGAATATTCCAAGGCGATCGGTAAAAACAGTCTCAGAAGGTTGTTAAGCTCTTTCCCTGGATGTCTCATCTTTCCCAGAAAAACTTCAAGCGACGCTCTCTCCGTTAGATAATTAAATTACGTTTATGTTAAAAGAACTTTTTCGGACTTTTATATTGAACAATAAACCATGGATACAATCTCAGCAAGAAATAAAGAACGAAAGAAAAAGAAGAAACTGGTTATTGACTTTAGGCGGCGTTAAAATCAAACTTCTTTTTTTTTTTCTTCGGGATAATGATCTGTTGAAGTACGACTTCGAACCACATATTAAACAGTTTATATGTACATTTTATTCTTGTTTAGAGTGTGTAAGAACAATAAACAATGAAGCCTTAATACTTTTCCTTCAGTAAGCGTACAGCATATTCTGCTACCTCTAGACTAGTAGGCGGGCTGTGTATATTTTTAAATACATCAGTTTCTTTTTAATATATACGTTACAATGAATTCTACAAGCTGGAAGGTCGCGGGTCTGATTCCCGATGAGGGCATTTTATTTTTCAACTGACCTAATCCTTCCAGCCGCACTATGGCCCTGGGGTAGACTCAGCCTCTAACAGAAATGAGTACCAGGAATCTTCCTTGGGGATAAAGGATGACCGGCGAGTAAGGCTGACAACCACACCGCCATCTGTGAGCCCATTGTCTAGAGAAAATGTGGGAACATCGACGTCTCACAATCCTATGGGTCTTCACGGTCTCCTACAGGTATAGCTTTATCTTTTGCCTTTTGCGTTAAAATGAAAAGAGATGTCGAAACTCATATAATTAAAATATATTTGCCTTCGTTGGTTATTTACAATTACCGTATTTACGCATGTATAGGCCGCGTGCGTGTATAGGCCGCAGCACAATTTTCAGACAGAAATTATAGAAAAAATAATTTTCTTGGAATATTATTTCAGGAGTAGAACACCCTGTATTACTAATTATGAATATAATTTTTTTTAAATGAAGTGTGATTTCGAATATTTCGAATATAAGCCGCACCCCAGTTTTCCTCTTGAATTTTTGGCAAAAAAATGTGCCGCCTATACATGCGTAAATACGGTACTTAAGTACAAAACATTTCCCACTGAAGGTCATAGCTTTTATTTTATCCTTACTTAAATATTTCATATATCAAATTCTTCACCTGATATTTTTATAGTAGTATACTCCAAGGGCTGAATACCGCTAACTGCAATTAGACATGATCCTCAGATAATTCCATTTTTCGTCTCTCAGCCTTACAATCTATCCATTTAAGATTTTTAATATTGTAGTCCTCTCTTCTCGGTCCTCTAAGGCAGTGGTTCTCAACGTTTATGAGACCGCGGCCCGGTAAGTTCTTTCTTTATAAGACGAGGGCCCAGTCCCAACAAATTTACTCGTAAATACCTTTCCAGTTTTGTTAAAGTTCATGCATTAAGCTAACTATAAAATATTTATTCATGAAAAATGCTTAGAAAATGAAGATGACAAATTCCAGAAGAACCTCTCGCGGCCCAGTATAATTGATGCCAGGGCCCATTACTGGGCCGCGGCCCGGCGGTTGAGAAGCACTGTTCTAAGGGGTTTCCCAGAATTCTTTATCTCTCCAATGCCTTCCCCTTGTCCAGCAAAGCCTCATAACAATATCATAAGGCTCATGACAGACACAAAGTCCTTCGTTATGTGAGGTCCTAAATATCGCCTGGTTTTATTTTTTTTACGGAATTCTATGTTCTCTATTTTCTGAATATATACCACGAAGTATACAGAAGCAGAACCTTCATAACTAAACCAGTAATCTTTGTCTGAATTATAAACCTGGCAGTAACCTTCCCAGTTTCCTATGAATCTCCGTAGAACAGTTAACACTCGTCTGACGCGTGTTGATCACAACCGGTTCGTAGCAAGGCGGGTACCGAAGAGAACTTGGAAGGAAATACCGGTGACGTGTTGCGTACACTTTTACCATGCCGCAGTATTTCAGTTGTGGGGCAGATTAAGTTCCTACAAGACTTTTTTTTTCGCGCAGATTCAGTGCCCGTTTTTATTATACAGCGATTAATTTCTTAAGAGAGCGACTCCGGAACATTCCTTATACTCAAATATAAACATGCACCCATAGAGATATGATAATATACACACATGCATGTTCCTGTGCCTTACATGTACAGTGCATGACGCTTCAAGATCTTTGCGTAATGTCATACTACTTTTATTTGCAGATGTAAGTCAGCGGTGGGGACACGTGGTAGCGTAGTTGGTTGAGGCACTGTGTTACAAGCCGAAAGGTCGCGGGATCGAATCCCGATGAGGTGGATTTTCTTCAATTTACCTAATCCTTCCAGCTGCACTATGGTCCTGGGGTCGACTCATCCTCTAGTAACAGTTTTACAGATATTTTTCTCGCTTACGGTATATCTTTTTTTTTTTCTGAAAACATTTCAGTTTTAAATAAAATGGAAATATTTCTACACATTACCATTGAATATATGGAATTTCGAAGAGAATATAAACGCGACTTAAGGTAAATACACATATAATTATTTGAGTTTATATTCTGGCCAGTTCTAATGATAGTGTCACTAGACTGGGCTGGGAGCCAGTGATTGAGGTTAGCTCTCTGAAATGGACCCAGCAGAGTAGGTGCCTCACATCCTTTCACCTGGGGACTGATCCAGATTCCTAAACGTTGTGTTCCTTAGAATACTAGGCAATAGACAAAGTCCAAAAACTCAGTGTGAAATTCTATCTTTGAGCGGAGTTTGTGAAGGGAAAAGTTAACGTCGGAGCATACCAAACATTTCACTCACTATCAACAGTAAAACTTTTAATGACAAAATTTTATCAATAAACAATATAACATGAAGGAGAGTGGAAATGTTTACAACTTATTTTTCCTTTTTTTTTATATTTGTTTCAATATGATTACGACAGTCCTTCTGTGCGTATAAAGTATTTGAGGTCGAAATGAACAAATTTGCACTAATTTTAGTATATAAGTGTCTTAACTAAACTGAATCGACGGTAAGATAACTACACATCTTTCTATGAAGCTCCTCATTCGTTGTAAATTACATTTCAAGAAATATCGAGTAGTTAAAAAACACTTCAGACAGAAGCTGTATCTACTACGAGTTGTCACATTCTATGAGTAACATTTCTTCTTCTTCTTCTTCTTCTTCTTCTACCTTGATGGATTAGGCTTCTTGACCTTATCATATTTAGAATTAATTATGAAATTGTAAACGTTACAGGCAGTTGATCAACTTGTGGAGGTGGGTTATAATAACTCCACCGTAACCCTGCGAGCCGTAGAAGGCAACGAAAAGGAAACCCGGTGCCTGGGCGCATAACTATGCCACCCTGTCACTGGGGGACATAAATACAGAGATATGAACCTAGAGGTATGGGGTTGGACGCAAGGCTGATGACCTTGCTCTGTAAAATAATTACTGCTGCGAATTCAAAGAAGTGAAAACTGGATGCAATTTGGTACAGCCTTCTAAGGTAGGCTATGGCTCAAGAATGGCTGTTTTGCCGATGATGATGATGGTTGGTAGGAATCCTTGGACGGGTGATCAGCCCATCGCAAGGTCACTACCTAAACAGGACAACACAAACAGAATAAAAGCAGACAGACATCCGTACCTCAAGCGGGATCCGAACCAACGATTTCAGTGTTTGAGCTCGCGAACACTTCTTGAGCCTCAAACAGCGCGGCCACTGTGCTTGGAAATATATACTGTTCTGAAGATAAATTCCATTAAATAACAAAAAGTACTCCATGGATATATGTTTAGGAATTCCTTACCATGTCTGAGGAGTTTAATTACTCGCTTGTAACTGAGCAGGCCAAGTTCAAACCTAGGATACTCCAACTGAGACTTGTTGAGAATAAAGTCTTTCTCTAAATACTTTTAATTTATTTTGCCAGCCATTATTCTTGCAATGCTCGCCTGTCATATCCTTATCACGAAGAACTATTACAATAGGTCCGTTGAAGGGCTCAATACCAAAAGACTCACTTCCACTCCACTCTTAACTTTACATTATCACACTCATATGAAGCATTCCTACTTGTCATATTCTGTGGATTTTGCTGGTTTCTTCAGAGTTTCTATTCGATCTCAAATTATGAACAACTCACATAGGCCCGCACTCCATTTCTACGTGTACTTAGTTTTCTTTGCTGGGGTCACAATTTAGGCCTTCAAGAACGTTCCAGCTGCTGCCCGCTAAGTTGCTCGGTGAGAGACATGTGGCCCCCACAATTCTGTCACGCAGAAGGGGCCATTCCTTCTTGAGGGCGCAGTTACAAACAAGAGGATTCTTGCCTATGTAAAGCTGTGCTGTTTTATTTAGCCCTTCTAAAATGCTTCTATCTACAGTTTCGATCCAATTCTCTTTTACGAGAATCGTTGTCAGAAATTGTGCTTTTTCAAATAACCTTGGTTTCAAACTCTTCAGTAAATTGTCGTTTAAATTCAACAAATTCAAGCTCACGAGGCCGTCAAACATACCAGAATCTAAAGTTTTTAATTTGTTGTGTTGGAAACTCAGCGTGTTTAATTTTAAAAGGGCAGAGAAAGCTCCCGCTTCAATTATTTCTATTTCGTTGTTGTCTAGATGCAGGGACAGAAGTTCCTGCAAACCATTGAAGGCATTCCTCTTTATTGTAACAACTTCACAATTAAGTATGTCAAGTTTCCACAAATTAAGGACTTTGAATTCTGAAAAGGCGTTGGCTTCTATGGAAACTATGTTATAAGACTGGAGAGATATGGTTTCAATCTGGGGCCCAAAATGTCCTGGTAGATCCTTGACATTACCCCTGATGCATTTTGCCCATGGCCCAAGACATTTGCAACCTTTTGCGCATGTTGGAGTCAAATCGGTGACGGTGGAATGCGCAGGGTTTATGACGAGCAGAAGTACAGCACACACTCTCGACAGTGGCAGCATGATCTGCAAGAACGAAATGGCTTCATATTATTAATATTGTAAGATAATGGCTTAAAGCGGGAGAAGCCAGAAGATGCTGCCGTTGGCTATCAGCAGCCGTATCTTCTGGCTACGCGTCCACATCAACACACACGCAGGCGCTAGGCAACAACCCGCTTGTCACGTTAAGCAATAGTAGAGGAACTGTTGGAAAAGGTGTTTTCTATACGGTCGCTCGAGTCGCCGCAGTAGAAAGGGAGTGACCAGTAATAGTCAGACCCCTCCTCTCGTTGAAGAGGAGGCCCTACTTCAAAACATATAAGGGTACTGAAAAGAAAAATTTGGTCAAGAGTACCGATGGGACCCTAAACCAAGAATTACTGTGCTGGCGAGGAACAGCAGCGATATTACCGACCGCCTGACTGAAAGTTAGTGGAGTCAGAGTTGTATGACTCCTACGAGTAGAGTCATGAGACAGCAAAATTTGGTGATGAGTACCGTGGGACTCGGAACTGAGACTGCTTTTGCTGTCGAGGCCAGCAGCAATTTACTATACTACACCAGTTAGTTGCTAGATTGCAACCAGCTGGGAAGGACAAGGATAACAGAGGAATCTCTATTGTTATAAGCCGCTTCCAAGCAACGACTAATGCAGACATAAAAGACTTTATACTATACTATACATGCTGTAATTTCGGTGATTTTTAGAGTGTGTAAATTAGTGTCACTTATAATTACTACTTGTAAATGTTTTATGAATCCAGTTATCAATCCAAACCCCGTGTCTAGTCACTAACACGTGACAATATGTACATTCTGACGATCTAAGGTTTATCGCGGTCATGTAAACAGTGAAACAAAGCCTGTTATATGCAACATCGGGAATATCGAGATCATGGAAGAGCGTTTCTGGCTAAATAATAAAGGACGTAAAATTCTACATAGTATTGTTTTATCACATTTGGAGCTTTGGTAGCGATCCCCACCCGTCCCTGTTTTAGCTACTAAATAGCTGATGTGGGCTATTGCCTAAGGCTTCTACTAAACTTTGTTCCTTGGTTCCGATTTTCAGCCACACTAATTCGTAACAAAGTTTGGTCTACGTGAAACCATAAACGGACTTTTCCGCCTATTCCATTCGCCATTCCACAGATTAGGTTGAAATTCTGTGTAGAAGACTTCTATCAGAAGTTTTTGGAAACCTCCGATTTTAAGCCATAATAAACTATAAGAATACCAGGACGGGCCTGTGTTTTGTATACGCTGTTGGTCCTTGCCAGCGCAGTCTTTCTTAGGTCCGAGTCCCTTGGGACTCACGACCGTATTTTACTGTCTCAGATTTGAGACTTCCCGCTTTGTCGCCTCCTACGCCTCGCAGGGACACGGTGGAGGTATTTGACCCCGCCTCCATACGAATTACTACTGACTTTTCCCAACTAAACTCTATTCATGGAATACCATAAACGGCTCCGGAAGTTTTGTTGAAAATCCATATAGGAGACTGCAATAAAATCTACTGGATAAGTTTCAGTCATACTAATCCATAATAAATCCTTGTTCACAAAGGACCATTAATGTAGTTTTCCAAGTACCCCATAAACTCTTTAGCAAGCTCTATCAAAATTTGTTATGAGAAACTTTCACCAAATTAACTGGGAAATTCCAACTTTCAGCCGTATTGATCAATAATATACTGACACGTTTTAGGGACGTGCGTGACTATAGACAGGGTTTCAGATTATTGGATTTATTAACCACTTACAGGTCCTACTACAAACAACTATAGCACTATGTAAGATTTGAGGCTTTCACGGCGGTGACTATGAANCTGCTATTTCCACACTTTACAGTTCACTGTTATACACTCTAGTGTCCTCAGTCTATTACAGTCTCCACTATCCATTTCCTAGCAACGAATTTTAACACCGGATCTATAACAGTCTCACTGAATTACACACTCCAACTGTCACTGCACGACAGCACACGTAAAGTCTTCTCTTCACAACCCGACTGCCGACTGACAGCGCCATCTTCTCAACCTTACCTGCAGAGCTGAACTCTCGACTAACTGCTCACTCGGAACTCCGGAACTCGACTGACTTTTCCAAAGTCAGAGTCAAAGTCACATTGCGACTCACGGTCAATCAGAAAGTCTTGGTGCCGAGCCCAATCTTGGGCTCATGGCCAGATATTTATTACTGTGTGGCAGTTACAGTCTTGGTATGTGGGGCGCCCTCTATCACGAGAGGACGGGTCGGTCTTTTGTATATGCTGCTGGCCTTGCCATCATAGTCTTTCTCGGGTCAGAGTCCATTTGGACTCGGCGACCATATTTTACTGCCTCGCCTCCCATTCGCAAGGTCACGGTGGAGGTGTTCGACTCCGACTCCACGAGGATTACTACTTACTTTTCAAGAGAGAGAGAGCGAAGAAGTGGGGGTAGTAGTGAGAGACACTACATTGGGGGGGAATAAACTATATCTCCAATTTTGAAGGTTCCCAGGCAGTGCCCGCTTGACCTTCTGGTAAAGATAGAGCATATGATCGGATTTTTTTGTTGTTTGTTTGTTTTTGCTAACGTTGGGAGGGCTATATTAAGGCGAAAAATTTGATGTTAACAATGGGAGGGCTGCATGTGAGGCATGCAGTGCAACGTGGAATTTGGTTATCAACTCAGCATTTGCTCTAGTACCGAGGAAAACCACGGAAAACCTTGGTCGCTTACTTTTCCAGCTAAACCTTGTACGAACCGAATAGAAAACATTATTCCCAACAATTCCTCTATTGTTGCTTGCGTATCCATTGCCGCTGCTTAGCAATGGACGTCTTCTCTGGCTCCACTATTCCGGCCTTCAGTCGTCATATCACAATATCTTAGTTTGCATATTGCTATTAATAGAGTTTTCCCATAAACGCACAAATCGTATTGCAATTTGACATGGGAGAATATCACTAGTTTGATTCCTGTTTTACGTAAACTTGATAAACTTAAGAGTGTACCTCTTGTCACTTTCGTTTATTACAGTATAGAATACCACCTACTCATTACTGTTTTGTTCCAGATGAACGATGAGGATACTCAATAAGATAATAAAGTAACGAAAATATTCTGAAGTAACTTGAGTACCCTTAATCACGAATATTACTATAGATCTATCAGAATGGTTAGAAAACAAATGCGAATAGCCCAAATCCCAATTTCATTTCTGTTTGACTTGTAGCGTCACCATGTGAATACGCATGTACACGTATAACTTAGTTACTTCTAAACCGGCTCACAGAGGTTTATGAAAATTGTTATGGCTGTCATAACACAGCCTTCTTAGCCTAATTTTCTTTTTTAAAATGAAAGTAGGCTTATGAGATTACCATGCTGTCTGTGTGTCTGTGAATTCCTTCCACCCACATATCAACTTTTGAATGACTGAACCAATCTTTATGAAATTTGGTGTGTATGTAATGGCACCAGCTCCCATGTCAGGGGCGCACTTCATAAATCCTTCCCATTAGTCTGTGTGTCTGTACGTGTATCCCTCCTATCGTTGCTACCACAGGTTCGGTAAAGCATAACCCTTCTTTCGTTGAGAGGCAACGGCTCTGTAAACACGTTACTGCGGCAACAAATACACGAAAACAATGGAAGAATTGTTGGAATCGTGAATTCCCCTGCTATCCTTGTCTTATCAAAGGAGAGTCTGTTTGTAAGATTTGAGGCTTTCACGGCGGTGACTATGAAGAAAGCAGTCTTCTGGGATTTGGCACCGTGTATATGTGGTGTTAACCGACGTTTCGGAGGAACGTATCGCCCCCATCTTCAGGGTAGAAGAAAAAGTATAAGAATTCTGCAAGCGACAACACCGTGAGAAACGGTAAAGCAGACTGGAAATATACCAGCTATGTTGAGCAGAGATACACTAAACCATGCTTGTCCCAGCTCCCTTCCCCTACCCCTCCCCAACCACTGCTTTCACTTGTTTACTTGCACTTCCCCCCTTCCCTCTCTGCTCAACATAGCTGGTATATTTCCAGTCTGCTTTACCGTTTCTCACGGTGTTGTCGCTTGCAGAATTCTTATACTTTTTCTTCTACCCTGAAGATGGGGGCGATACGTTCCTCCGAAACGTCGGTTAACACCACATATACACGGTGCCAAATCCCAGAAGACTGCTTTCTTCGAGAGTCTGTTTGTCTGTCGACTCCCTTATCGTTACTTTTTTATTGGTAGTGGGGTGGGACTGAGTCCCTGTACTGCGGCCGCTTCTGGCCTGTTGCACCAGCCCCAGATGATAGGTGAGGGTGATTGTGGAGCAATTGGTGGGATGAAGATTGGCAAGGGAAACCGAAGTACTAGGGAAAAAAAACTGCCCCAGAGCCACTGTGTTCACCACAAATCCCACTTGACCAGACCCCGGGATCGAACCCGGGTCGCCGCCGTGAGAAGCCAGCGACTAACCGCTTGAGCTATGGCGCGGCGCTATCGTTGTTAGGTAAAAACTATGTAAAGACGTTTCCCCGGCAACGAAGAATTATTGGAGGCGTCGGTTTCTATGCGGTCCGTGTCGTATCAAAGGAAATTAAGAGATTAGTTCTTCCCAGAACTTCTTGTTTCATTATACTACAAGGAACTAGGTTAAGAAGGATAATATAGTTATGACTCTGGATTCTGTTGCCTATTTAGATGCGCTGTTACTCACGGTTTTCGTCGTGGCTTCTTCATAAAATTTTTAAGTATCGGCATCACTACACTCACTTCTGAGCGAATATCACTGATTTTAAACCAAAATGTCTTCCCATTTGTGTCTAAGTGCAGCCTCAATAATATTTTCACAATCTTTTTCACTTCAGAAACACCAGGCGTTGAAGTAGCATGTGCGGGGGTCAGACTACCGTTCGTCAAATAGAACTAGTTCTTACCTCAGCGGTGTACAGAAGGAAGTACTCGTTAGCACTGCATTCGTCAGTAGACTAATTTGTATACTTATCCTAACACATGACTACGACTCACTGTGGGTCATACCGGACTGAGACACGCATGAACAGGAAAGGGAACTGGAAATTACGTATGAAGTTCCAAACACAACAGATGTACAGTCACCGTTTATCAATCTATGTCTCTATAGCCCCTTTGTTGGACCTTGGTCGCTTTTTCAGTATCTAAATCCTCTAGACAGTCGATAGGACTTCTTGGACGGGGGTCAGCCCGTCGCAAGGCACAGAACAATACAAACGCAGAATAAACGCACACAGACATCCATGCCTTGTGTGGGATTCGAACCCATGACCCCAGTGTTCGAGTGGGCGAAGACGTTTCGTGCCTTAGACCGCGCGGCCACTGTGGTCGGCCTTTCAGTACACTGCTTTGTGTTAATACCTTGACGATTCGAAGACAGCACTTAATTGCAATCTAAAGCTGCTACAGAAAATGTAAATGAATCATCCTCTTTGAACAGGTCTGGCTTCATAATGAATACCATGATTCATACATCTTCAGTATTCAGTCTTAGAGTAGTACCATGCACGGAGGTACTGTGGGGGCAGAGAGCAACCCAAATATAACTGTAAAAAGTAAAAGCAATGCTATCCCTGTAGCGAGCCGTGGAGGACCATACGGTTGTGAGATGTTGAGGCTCCCACATTTTCTAGACAATCGGCTCATAGATGGCAGTAACGTTGTCAGCCTTAAGCGCCGGTCGCCCCGGCCGCCCTTTACCCCCAAGAACATTCCAAGAATATTCCTGGTACTCATTTCTATTAGAGCTTGAGTCGACCCCAGGACCATAGTGTGGCTGGAAGGATTAGGTAAATTGAAAAAGAAATCCAATGACCTCATCGGGATCAGATTCCGCGACCTTTCGGGTTGTAGCATAGTGAAATGTAACTGTAAATATTATTATTTGTTATAGTTATTATCTATCTCATATCCATAAACTTTTGAAGCCGGGGTAGCGTAGCCGGTACAGCGATTAGCTGCAGGACCGACGGGTCGGAGTTCGAGTCCCGGAAGGATCAAGAATTTTCACTTTTCCACGTGGTCCAGACCTAATAATCAATTAAGCTGATCACTACGGCGTATTGATGACTTGAATAGTGAATTCAAATAAGGACTTGAAGCTGCTAATTGGTGTTTGAGTGCTCACCGTCCTACCCCCGAGACCCCCACAATCACCCAAGTCACGGCCAGTCAACACGTCCTGAAAGGAGTCGGATTTCTCGACCGGAACTAGTAGTACAAAAAGAATGGCTACAATTAGCTGAGCGATTATCAGGTTCTGAAGAAGTACTTTGGTCCTTAAAGTTAGTTAATTGCATATTAAGTGATTTTCTTGAATCTTTGGTTTTCGTATGGGTGCAAACAGTACAGTCTGGCTAAGCTCTGAAGTTCGAAGAGAGCGAAGGGAGGCGTAAGAACAGTAGAGGCAGTCAAACTGCTGATAGGTAAGTGCGGCAGTATGATCAACCTTCAATGCTTAGACAGACAGAACATTTTGTCTGCACACGTATCTAACTAAGTCTACAAGTTTAGATATGTTGTATCATTGCTACTAAAGGGGAATTCCAGAGTTATTTCTGTTCAGCAACGGAGCTATTCAGCTCGTCACACTGCTACGACCAACCGTGCACCTCTTCAGCTCGCTACAGTTGAGGAGCTACATAATACAACAACGTGCCGCGGCCTTGTCTTTACACTATTTTTTATATTGTAACGTGTTTTGCCAATGAAGACGCCGTTCTGATTGTTAATTGGTTTATTTAACAACATAAAGTCGTAACTACAAATACTTATAACACTGGTACGGGTTTACACACTTTACAAACCCTACACGATATCTCTTCACACTATCTTCAGTATAACACACGTTCCATTCTTCTTCCCGCGACTGCTTCTATGTTTCAACTGTCTTCTAACTGGCTTCACAATCCACACTCGCTACAACTCAACTCGGCGACGGCTACATTTTAACTCTCTCTTTACGCATTTCGGTCTCCTTTATAAAGTCTCAATCGGACAGCGGAAAACCCACACCGCTTCACTGTTGCGTAAACGCCGTGTTTGCGTTGCTGGACAACGCTGCCAAGAGTTGTTTATTTCTGAGTACAAACCAGCGCGCTTCGACTCGGCTCGGCTCACTTCGGCTCTACTGGGCACGGCATGGAGAAACACCGCTTTCCTTACTGTTGCGTAACTTGGCAACCGACCGTTTATCGAGGGTCTGTTTTCGTGTTAACTCGTTCCACTTCCCGTTGCCCAGTAACGGTTAGACATGTCACAATATTGAAAATACTATTCCAAAATAATAATCTTATCAAATGAGTGAGTGCAGTTCTATTTTAGGAAAAGTATTGTGAACTTGAAGAATATTGTCTTTCATAATGTAGTGTCGTGTAGTCCGGTAGAAGTCCACAGACATTTTGGAAGAACGTACTGCCTTCGCCTTTAGGGTCGAAGAAGATGGCAAGTACAGCCTCCTGCTTCTTGCTAGTTTCTTGCTTGGTTTATTCTTAGAACCCTGAAGATAAGGACATTGCGTTCTTCTGAAACTTCGGTGGACATCTATCCAATTACACGGCTTTGCATTCCAGAAGATTATGTGTATTGACTTGGGGGCGAGGCTCCTGTTGCTTCGGTTCTTTATGAGCCCTGAAGATAATGACCACTGTAAGAACCTCAGATACAGTATTATGAAATGCGTGATAAGAGTTGGTTTTATGTTGTTAGTGGTAAGATAATGGGAAATCTGTATGAATTATGTAAAAATTATCCTGTAACCAACATTTCATAAATGGGAACGAACCGTTAGTCAAATCTCGCTTTTGAAGTGTTTCAGACCAAAAATTATGTGAGGATGGAAAGGTGTGGTCTCCTTCAGTTTTAAGTGCACATATTTTCCAAATGTGTTCTACTTGATTTTACATATCTCGCTAGACATGACGTTTATTTACTGATGATTCATATTTGTTTCAAACTTAATTCTAACTGAAGCACGGTATTGTTATGTTTATTATATTATATATCTGTGCAAAAATATTTTATTACCATCATTGCAATCTGTAGTGGTGAAATAAATATTTATCTCTTTTATTTCGTGGGGTGAGGTGAGACTGAGTCCATTTGGTAGGTTGGTCACTAATTGCCCTAATGGACCAGCCCCAGGTGATGATTGAGTATGAAGAATTTGGTGGAATGAGAATTGGCAGGGGAAACCAAAGTACTCAGAGAAAACTTGCCTCAGTGCCACTTTGTCAACCACAAATCCCACATGACCTGACCTGGGATCGAACCCAGGCAGCTGAGGTAGGAACCTGGCAACTAACTGCCTGAGCAATGCACGGCCCAATATTGTGTTATACAGTGAGTCCGTAGTAATTTTTCGACCTCAAACCTCAACTGAAGCCGGAAATCACTCCCAGCTACTGCTGTTACCACCATTTCACCACCATTGCCGTCACTACAACTGCTACTCTGCCTCTACCAGATTTAATGTACTTCCTGACAAATGTGTGGGTGCACCCTGTACAGAATTTGATGCAGAAAGCAGTGACAATGAAATTACCTTCTCTCTGCTTTTAACTATCCAAGCCAGATCATTTTAGAATAATTACAACCCGACCAAACTAAAAATATAGTTATGCACAAAGTCAAACAATCGAGCACACTCACATGGTATATATTCTTATGAAATCATAAATAATTTAATAACATAAACAGATCCTGGAATTTACAAGTCCTGCATCAAAGACTGTTTCTATTAGAGCTGTTTTATGAGTAATACAATGTGCTCAACTACCGTTTGATGTTTTTATCCTGAAAACTGTTTCCTACCTTCTGGAATACGAGTAATTTTCTGTACTGTAGCTTTCATGCCCATGACTGACTTTTACATGACATGTTCATAATTCATTCATTTTTATCAATGCTGTACCTCTGAATGGTAGAACTGAATCATTATACTACAGAGCTAAGTATTCAATTGCTTAAAGAAGTATCATAGAACTTCCCAAATATGTATGTCCAAGGAAGGTTTATCGTCATGAAACGTGGCTGGAGGCTGTGTAACTAAACTGTAGCAAGGAACTTATTTTCTCCCCATTACCTATATTTTATACCCATTGTCAGTGTTGGATTTATTTCCTTCCATCATTCTCAAAAATGCTGCGTTAAAAAATTATTTTCATTGAATTATTTTTATGTATTAAACATGAATATAATTACATACTATAGGGTTCTGACAATGGTGTATAACACACAGAGATACTGGGTTTTTGGACTTTGGCCATTGTACGGATTCTAAATAACTAAGAATCCAGTGATTGAGGCTAGCTCTTTCTAAGGGACCCAACAGAGTAGGTGTCTTCCCTCACCTGAGGACGGAAACAGATCCAGTTTCCGGAATGTTGTGTTTTTTTTTAGTTATTTAAATCCAGACGATGGACAAAGTCCAAAAACCCAGCATCTCTATGAATAAAATTATATACCAGATGATTGGAACAAGGGAGTGATAACCAAATACAAAAGAAGAGACTGGAAAATATGCCACAATTACAGAGTACTGATACTCAGTGCTGTAACATCTGTTAAATATTCTTAATTAACAGAATGCACAATGTGCATTTCATTGTGAAAGATCCATGACAGATGTGAAATTTACGATGAGACAATTAAATTAGAAACACTGGGTAACTGGCAAGGCTATGGTAATTGTATTTATAGAATTCCATAGAGCATATGAAGTATATAAAAAGAAAAGTTTTGATCAAATGTAATAAAATTACAAGTACTGGAATACATTATAGAAAAGTGAAGCTAACATACAATTACACCGATGGTGCAAAAACCAAATTATAAAAATTATTTTGGTTCAGAATTTGTAATAAAGTGGGACTTGAAAGTATTCT